TTATGACAAAACAAACAAAGACCTGCACTAACCCACAACGCCTTTATTCCCAATTCATCATCCTTCCTTGACATTTATAGCAACCCTAGTTATCGCCACCTTTGAAATATCCGATGATACTACTATGGATGACCTCGGTGGTGAAGCATTGTTTTTTTCGGGGCCTTCGGTACATGCAAAAGAGGCAACTTCCTCGGGTGCCCCATTCCAGGAGCGTTATTTTGATTCCGAACAGAATTTTGAATACTTCATTCACGGAAGATAAGGCTCAAACGAATGGAGAATACCATGATGTCGATCGGCGATAGGCCTATTACGTTTTACAACCAACGTGCCTGAAGGACATAGAAGCTAGTCTATTTAAACGAAATAATTGGTTATCCCAAAACAAATTTGTTTAAAAAACGTGGATCTGTTTGAAAACATCGGTGGTATTTATTGATAATAAATTTAGTCATAGTGCAATGCTTAAGAATTTTTTGACTGACAGTAATACTTTGAATAAGAAGACCAATCATTGAGATTTCCTTTCAAAGGTTATTAATAAAAATGTTTATAATTAGGACATTTGGATAACACGATGAGGGGAGCTGTGTGTTTTAGTGAACTTTTCCTTGGTCTGGGCGATTGAAAGGTTTTAAATATAGCTTTTTTTTTTTTTAATTTAAATTTCTTACTTTTTTTTTGTCTTCATTAGAACGGCATTTAAACTACTAGAGCTATTTTTGCAAACATAAAATTGCATTTTAATTATATATATTTTGGCTAACAAAATAAGGGGAAATTAGTAAATTATTACATTGATTGGGTTATTCGTTGTCAAAACGAAATTAGGAGATGTGGGTGGGAGGGGGGCGATTGAAACGCATCGGAATTAGTCCGTTGTCTTACAAAAAAAAAGCTGAGATTGTGACATAATTATAGTACGGTTTAATTCAATAGTTATTTTTATTAATTTGTTTTCGCTTTAATTTGATTTTTAAAATTTTAAATACCATTTTAAGTAAGGGTTATTTTACCTATGGAAGAGGTAGGCTTACAAACATTTTTGAATTCATTCAGAGACAAAGTTTTTCAGGAAACAAAGATTACAACAAAGTAACTTCTTCAAACTAGTGATGTTAAACCAGGAGTGTTAATTTGTTCAACCTATGACACAGTCAAGGGTTATAGACAAAAGAGGCAGTTTTTTTATTATGAATCTATAGATATTATATTGGAGATTCTGTAACCTGTTATTGTGTTGTAACTTTTAAACATGATTGTTGATACTGCTACTAAGTATCAAAGTTGATACTGCTACTGAATATCAAAGTTGATACTGCTACTAAATATCAAAGTTAATACTGCTACTAAATATCAAAGTTAATACTGCTACTAAATATCAAAGTTAATACTGCTACTAAATATTAAAGTTGATGCTGCTACTAAATTTTATGGTCGATACTGCTACTAATTCTTTGACAGAGCGTTTGAATCCAATGAGATTAAAGGATTACAAGGAATTGTTGACACAATTTACAGATTTAACAGATTTAACAAATTTGCCAATGAATAGGAATATCTCAGATATTGATGTGAAGAAATACTTTCTTTTGTACGCATGCTGCCATGAAATACTTTCTTTTGTACACATGCTGCCATGAAATACTTTCTTTTGTACGCAAGCTGCCATGAAATACTTTCTTTTGTACACATGCTGCCATGAAATACTTTCTTTTGTACGCAAGCTGCCATGAAATACTTTCTTTTGTACACATGCTGCCATGAAATACTTTCTTTTGTACACATGCTGCCATAGAGGAGATGGGTGGAAAAGATGCGTATATCCCGTGGACGTCATTTATTAAGACCCCCACCCGTCAGGCTACGACTTCTCAATAAAGCCAGATTAGTTTTTAATATTTTGTATCCATCTCAATATTTTTTTTTGTTAGTGCTTAGACTTAGTTGTCGGAATAAGACTGTTTTAAAATGAACAATTATTTTACAGTTTATATGAAAATGAGCATTTGCAGGAGGTGGGGCGCCAAAGTTTAGAACTGCCTGGGGTGCCAAAATGTCTAAGGTTGGACCTGATTGTTTTATATATGGCATTTCTTTTTATTTATCCATGATTCAAATCCCCTAATTTATGTTCATTGCAATCTCATAATTCTTAATTTCCCCAAATGTTGACCCTAACCCGAGTGTGACACCACTCGTGGAAGAAACCGTTCGTGTGTACTTCGGACTTGAATAAGAATATAGGCTTTGCACGCGATGGGCACGTTGTTTCCGCGTGACTGATTACTCTGCGATAGAAAAGACTCGTAATTTAACGCATACATTAAAACATAGGCCGATATAAATGAAGAGGTGGGTTGGGGGTTGGCAGGGGCGCGCTCTTGCCTTACACTCCAGCTTCAAGCCCTCGCCTACTAGTCAATTCTGGGCCTGACAGAGTTCGTGCCACTTTCGTGTTTCAGACATATGCGTATATTTTAAAAACTCTAAAAAGGGCGGGCCCCTACTTAGCTCGGGTCCCTAACAGGTGCCATGGTTGTTCCGCCCCCCCCCCCCTTTCCAGGTGCGTGCCTTGCAGCTTAGACTTTGATGCAGTATGATTACCAAAAAAAACGGACCTCCTTTGACATTCGTTAACTCAACTACTATGGGTTGTAATTTGGGTTAGAAACTTACTAATTTTATATAATATATATATATATATATATATATATATATATATATATATATATAGCTAGTCCGTCGAAATCGACCATGACAATTTGATTTATGGAATTCGTGCTAATTCTGAACTTTGCTCAGGGTGCGCAGATGGCCGATGAGACCGTTTCTGGCAGGAAAATGACTTGTACAGCAGCTGCAGGGGACTGATGGTACATCTCCCTGTCTAGCGTTAACCCGGGATATTCTGGCGTGCCTTTGGTGCTCTGCAGTCGCTGTTCTGTTGACTTCAAACTCTCAATAAGGGCCATCCATAAATGACGCAACGCTACTTTTCTTGATTTTGACCCACCCTTCCAACCCACCCTTATTTTATTTGATTTCAGAAATATTTAAAAAAAAGACAATGTCACACATCGTCACAAATATGTGCCCCCCCCCCACACACACAAACACATACTCAAAGTATAACTCTTCAACAAAAATATTTTGCTTGTTTTATGGTGATAACTTTATCTTCAGTTTATGACACAGTTGTAAAATGAAAATGACATGGAAATTACTGTTGGTAGAGTAAAAACTAGGCCTACTTGTTCAGCCTCATTTGATGTTTCAAAAAATACAAAAAATGCGCATAACTTATGTGAATTTTCATTGAAAGTCTAGAGTAACATTGATACTCCCGACCCCCAAATAAATAAGTAAATTCATCAATATACAATGAAAATAAATAAATAACACACACACACACACGAAAGAAAATAAACAACACCAGAGAAGCAAGATTATTCCTCCCTCCCTTACAAATAAAAAATAAATCAAGATAACGCCATTCAATAAATTCATCTGACTTTAATGATGATTGGGGTTTAAATTTATATTTCAATTTTATGTATTGTTAAAACCTCTCACTTTTCTGTTAGATCCTCATGAGTCCTGTACTAGGACAATTGACCTCAAAATGCTATTCAATTTTTTTCCCCTCCTCTTTCTTTTCAATTTTGAAAAAGGAGAATCTCGAGAGCAGGGGTCTCAAACTCAAATTACCCAGGGGTCGCTGGAGGTAGAGTCTGAGTGAGACTGGGCCGCAACAAGTATTGCACAAATAAAGCGATTACAAATTCAATAAAGTACAACTGTTCGAATCTGCTCAACCTTTATTAATAACAAATAAAAAGATTTATGGTTCTTAAGAACTAGGCCGTCACATTGCGTATCATTGTTAACGGCATTATATCATTTATAAATAAAATAAAATTCAATGTGATCTAAAATAAAAATATTCAGCTAATAAATGCTATGAAAACAATGAGCTTCTTGTCAGACGAAAAAGAATACAATTTTTTTTTTTAAATGGCAATTCCCACTGGTGATTTTAAAACTTAAACATATTCAAACAGAAGGCACGAGCAGACAATATTTATGAATTATTGATGCTAAGGAAGATGCTATTGTAGGGAGAGAGCTTTTTGATATTTTTTTTTTTAAATCGCAGAAGAAGGTATTTTTTACTAGCCCTATTTTGAAAATGACCAAGATGAGAGGCTCGGAATTTCCCTCATTGTCACTCGTAAACACTATCGGCAATATCAATAGGGATTCTTTGATACTGTGTAAGACTGCTACGATTTACACAATTATGGTTGAGCATTACCCACTAATGAAATTTCAAAAAACGTTTCCCCAAAACCATGTTTGTCTCATAAAATGCTATAAAATAAAAACGTTTATTTCGATTTTAAAACTGTTTTTACCATTATAATGAACGTCCAAACCTCAACATACAAGATAAATCAGAGACTAGTCGGTGAGATTCGACTGAGACCCTCGCGGAGGGTCAGATTTTATGAGAAGGAGAAAACGCATGGGCCGCATTAACACTAAACTTTGCTGTCAAGTAGCGGGCCGCAAAATATCGTCTTGCAGGCCGTAAATGGCCCGCAGGCCGCGAGTTTGAGACCCCTGCTCTAGAGTCTTAAAAATAATTTCAGACACTTATCATTGCGTACCACATATCACTTAACACGTGTATAAAATCTCGAAGAAAACATTTTTAAATTATTTAAATTTAAATTACAATAAACATTTATTTCATCACAATATTACAATACTTTGACAATTTAATTCAACCATACCCTGAACTATCATTTCGGATATTAGTCGCGCCGAAACTGAAATTGAGTGGAATGTACTAATTTTAATCAAATTATCTTAACATCTTTTTGGCACTTAAAAGATTTTGAATGACTAAAGAATTATTTTACTACAATTTGGTCTTCTTTTCTATTTTTTTTTCAAAGGCTGAAACTTCTAAAATAAAAAATTAATATATAGTTACATATCTCGGACAACTTCATAGAATTTTCGTCGTATATCGATAACGAGAATAACCATTCGCTAGTTAAAAATTGAAATTTGGGAATTTTACAGAACATTTTACTATATTATTACACAAGTAATTATAATATTGAACTTCAAACAATATAGTTTAGTTGATTATTTAACTGTGGTTTTTAAACATTACCCAGGTTTATGTGATTAGCCCTAACATTTAATACCGTTTATTTAAATTTAAAGTAATACTGAATGATCAACTCTATCAATGAATGAATTCAATGACTTAATTAAACTAAAAATAAAACAAAACTGCCTTAAACTTAAAACTTACTTAAAAGTTTTAAGTTGAAACTAGTTACTAAGACTTGACCAAGTTAAGTAGTAAGTTAAGTACTAACTAACTCTTTAAACTTAAAAAATAATAGTACTATCAGTATCAGTGATCTGTCATGTCTAACTTATGTGTACAACTATGTCTATTGAGATGTCAAACTCTCAATGAGAGTAAATATTAATGAGTAAAAGTGTAAAGTCTAAAGAAAAAGAATAGTCTAGACCAGAGATTCCCATAGTGCTTTAGTGGTCTATGACTATATCGACCCCCAGGGCCAGGGGTCAACTTGCAAGGGGTCCATGTCAGAGAGAGAAAAACTTGGGGGTCCATGAAATATGGGGGTCCACGATAGTGGATCTCATGTAAGCAGGTCGTGTCTTCTATTTTGGCATTCCATGAATGGAATAATCTACATACACAGATTCAGATAGTGTCTATTTACTTACATAATATTACCTTAATATCTTCCTACATAAATTATAAAAGTACCTATGAAGTAAAAATTTTAAAAACATAAATATTCATGAAACATGATGAAGAATCAGAATCATATTAAAATTTAAGTTATGTTATTAGGCTTATTAGGTATATTTTCTGATATATGAATATGAAAATGTTTAAGAATTATTTTATACTAGCAGTTTCCCGCAGCTCCGTCCTCGTATGTTTTTATTTTCTCTGCGTGTAAGGTTTTTATATTTTTTTAAAAGTATCTTTCCGCAGTAAATTGTAGCCTGTGTCAACTCTTTAGCTAGCTAGACCTCCAACTTTATCTGCGCACAAGATCACGGAGATTTATTGCTTGGTTTTTACGTGAAGTTTCTGGATGCTAAAGATCAAATTTTAAAAGAAAATTTAATGAAGTGTAAAACAGACATTGCCTATTTATTTAACATATTTTTTACTCAATTTAATATAGTTTACTTGCAGTTACAATCTGACAGTCTAAGTTTGATTAAAACAAATTCCATAATTTCACTGTTTCTTGCCAGAATTAAGCTAATGAAGTAAAACATTTGGCGGTGCGGATTTTTCCAGTTCCCCAGTTTGTCGCAGACAAACTGCCAAGAAGACGGCATTTAAACCTACATTCAACATTTAAATGTCCTCTATTCAGATTTTGAAACTAGGTTTGATGATGTTTTGACTGTGGTAATACCACAGGGGATAATAATATGGTGACATTGAAGAAACCAATGTCATATTACAATAGGAACTGATCGGAATAAGCACTAACGAAGAACTTAAGGTACAGTTTAGAAACGGATATCAGCAATTCTGGATTCGAAAAGACATACCTGTTACTTATCCTGTATTATGGAATATCGCGAGAAAGTTTTTAATTGCCTTTCCATTCTCATACCTAGTGGAAAGGGGTCTCAGCGCAGTTACAAATCACCTAACAAACAAAAAAGAAACAAACTTGACACCATTAACCGAGGAGATGTGAGATTAAACCTAACTAAATTGATGCCAAATGTTGAATATGTATTACTAAAACATCAGGTTCATCCCCCATACTAAAAGCATTTATTTTTTGCTTAGTTATTTTATGTAAAAGAAAATAAATTTTAATTTGGTTCGTTTTAACTTGAATTTAATTAATAAATTTATAAAACTTAACATGTTTTTATTAAAGTTTTTCACACTACACTTCACTACCGTTATAAATTTAAATCTTTCAAAGTGAGTACCACTATGCCAGCTGTCAAAAGTACATTTGAAGTTAATGAATTTGCAAAAAATCAATATCAGGTAAGCAAGGGGTCTACCCAATGCCAAAAAACATGGCAAGTGGTCTACGAGACAAAAAATTTGGGAACCTCTGGTCTAAACTAAGTCTTAGTTTAGTTTCTTCTGCTAGATCTTAGATTATAGGTACTTTGTACTTTGGTGTATCATCAGTCATCATAAACATGTAAATATTGTTTGAGTTTGATTAGTCATAGTGGCATAGTCAATAGTTTGGGAACCTCTGGTCTAAACTAAGTCTTAGTTTAGTTTCTTCTGCTAGATCTTAGATTATAGGTACTTTGTACTTTGGTGTATTATCAGTCATCATAAACATGTAAATATTGTTTGAGTTTGATTAGTCATAGTGGCATAGTCAATAGTTCTGTATGTTTTAAATGAGTATGAGGATTTCAACTTGAAAATGATAACAAATTTATACTTGCTGCGAAAAAATTAAACTACTAAGCCTAGGCCTACAGTGGCATCAGATTATGAAATTCTTTTTAAAAATTTACTTTTTTTGTTCAGTTTTGTAATTTTTATAGGCCTATATCAAATATAATTTCAGTAATTAATGGTAAATCAGCAATAGTGGTATTGAAAATTATTCACAAACATAGAATGGTGCATTATAAACTAGTTTAGGCTTCCCCAATTTTTCATGATTTAATTGCATCTTATTACAAGTAACAATGCTTAACAAAAGACAATTTAAACTTAGAAGAAACATTTGTCTGTAATTAATTCTAGTATTAATACTAATATACTATAGCACTGTTCGTTACTTATCTCAGAAAAAGATTTTATGACTTCGATACCAATCATGCTGGCAGCACAGAGAGAAAAGCGTGCTAATGCCGGGAGCAAAATGTCAAAGTTGCTAGAGGCAGAAGATGAAGATGATTTTTACAAAACAACCTATGGTGGTTTTGAAGAAGTAATATATTTTTGTTATTAATAAATATTATCAAATTAGTTTTTTATTTATTAAAATATAACTTCATAATTTAGAATTATTGACTTCTCTTTTCAGAGTGTGTCTCATATTTCTAAATAACTCTGTGTTCATACCACATCATTTTTATATAATTTATATTTATTCTAAGACATTGTTTTCTATTTATGTTCAATTTCCTGCTCTACAGGAAGAAGAAGACAAGGACTATCACTCCTCACAGTCTGATTCTGATGATGTCATTGATTCTGATTTTAGTATTGATGAAAATGATGAAGTCAAGAGTGATGATGATGTTGATGGCAAGCCAAAGAAAAAGAGAAAAGGAGTTGTTACAAAAGCTTACAAGGTTTGATGATGGCAAATTATTATTGATGGTGAAGCATTCAACCCTGTAGAGGAAGTTAACTTTCTCACACCACATTCCAATCATTATGTTTTTTTTGCCTATCTTCTTCAGCAAAAAGCAACTGGAGCTTTTGTTTTTTAATAAATCTTATTATTATTATTTAAAAATGTATAGTCATCTTACCTGATAAATTAAATTTATGCATTATAGCTAATATTTTAATATACTAATAGAATTTTTAAAAATATTGTCAACTGCATTATCATTAAAATATTAAGTTTAAGAAAAAATTTCTATTTCAAGGACCCTAAAGGTGCTGGGGATAAAGATATGAAACCTCCTATTAAAAAACCAAAGAAAGAAAAGCCAAAAGAAGTGCTTTCTGCTATTCAGATTTATGTTTCACCAGGTATTCAATAGATCTTATTCATAAGTGAAGATAGCTATATAAATATTAGTTTGGTTAATATATGTGTGATTTCAAGCAATAGGTTAATATTTGTTTGATTTTAAGCTCATTCCCAATTCAACTTAAAAATATTAGGGATTTTTTCGAATAAGTAGGGCCTATATAGTTTTTTTTCTTAACTTTTATATTTTTAAAAATAAATTGTATTTTATTTTTTTTTAGAAAGAAAATCAGTCAGAAGATCAACAGCATTAAAATCCGAGGCAGCCACATCAAGGCAAAAGCTGGATATAGAGAAAGACAAAATGTTAAAAGACATGGCAGCTAAGAAAAATGTTTCACACATTCGCAGGATGACACAGGAAGAACTACTGGAAGAAGCCAAAATAACAGAGATTCAAAACATGAAAAGTTTAGGTAAAATCATATCATGTGTAGGTGGGGTTATTTAAGAGAGAGCGGCCCGTGTCTATTTCCATGGCCGCCATCTTGGTTGCCTCGACCCGCGCACTTTTACGTGTTCACGGGTTGAGGCAACCAAGATGGCGGCCAAGGAAAAATAAAAAAATTCATGTTTGCTAAAATTAGGAAGAAAATGTTAAAAATGTATGAAAAAATTGTCTTAAATCGATCCCTATGCCTAACCTGAACCCTAAATCTATCCCTATGCCTAACCCTAACCCTAAATCTATCCCTATGCCTAACCCTAAATCTAACCCTATGCCTAACCCTAACCCTAAATCTATCCCTATGCCTAACCCTAACCCTAAATTGATCCCTATGCCTAACCCAGCCCTAAATTGATCCCTATGCCTAACCCTAACCCTAAATCGATCCCTATGCCTAACCCTAACCCTAAATCGATCTCTAAACCTAACCTGAACCATAAAAACTAGCCGTAAATCCACAAATAAAAACACATGGAATTTCACACTTTGGCAAGAAAACTATAAAAGGTAACAAAAAAACAATAAAAAAGGCCCCCAAATAATTATAAACTAAAGAAATAATGAAAATCCAACTTACAGTTTCATGAAATACACTTTTACACACTTTATTTCAGGTTCCAATGAAAATATAGCCACAAAATGAATAAATCTCCACACCCCACAAGCACCCCAAAGATATCAAATCTGGCGGAACAAAAGAAATATGATAATGAGCCAACCAATGAAAATTTTAAAATTTTAATTAATCAACCAATAAAATTTTAATTCCGAAATGTAACTCTTTTAACAAAAAATAAGAAAAAAATAAGGGGAGCGAATCCAAAACAAAGTCGCCTTGGGCCGCTCAATCTGAAACAGCTGTAGGTGGTACAAACGGGTTAAAAATTGAAACTGATCAATTCATAAGTTTTTTTAAGTCTTATATTTGTGCAAGTTGTCCTCTACAAAGGTATTTCTAAATGTGTACCGGAAATATATTTTGAATATTAATACAATTTTATTTCAGAAAACTACCAGAAGCTAGAACTTGAAAAAAAGAGAGCACGTGTTGTAAAGCAAGCATATCAAGGGCCCATCATTCGTTATCACTCTCTTACAATGCCACTTATAGAAGAGTTACCCTATGAGCCAGATGTTGATGTCGACTCGGAGGAGTAAGTTGTGTACATGTTGTTCTGGAGCAAAAATCTGGATACATTACCATCACAAATGATTTATAATATATTTTAACAATAATGACCTACTACGATTATGAGTGAGATAAATTAACCTAATAATTGCGCCATCAGTGATCAAAGCAGTGTTTCCATTCGTTGCGATCCATAAACGTCAGCATTGTGGTTTAAACGGCTTCAAATCAGATAGTTATTAAAACACTCTATTACACCCAGCACAAGTAACGTTGACAGTGTTTATTTTTGCAGCCGTTTGAACGAAAGTTCTCACTAGATCATGTCTGACAAAGGTATAGCAGGGTTTCCACGCAATTGAGAAAACAGGAATTAATCAGGAATTCATTCATTAATCTACACTTGAGAAATACTGTGCCTTTTACTGTTAGTGTCCTTAATAAATTCTTGCATGGACCAAGTACAAGAGATTGTCAGCCAAAACTTATTTTAACCGAGGGAACTGAAAAGGAATGTAATACAAATCTATATCACAAATCTTGCAGATTAGATGCATTAGTTTCATCATAATTTTAGTTTCACTCCTTTGTATTTGTATCATTTGATATTTTTGAAAGATAAAATAAAGTGAAGAACTTTTGTTTGTTTTTTAAATTACTTTGAAAATGCATAATTTTTTGTAAAACTCAATAATTTTTAAAAATAATAAACACGTTTGCAAGTTTTGGTATATGAACTGTATTCAAACTTTAATATTAATATCAATTACTCCATTTTAAAATGCATGTCACAAAAATTGTTTGTTGTGGTGCATGAATAGAGACATCAATATTAATGAGGCATCTCCTTTCATGACAACCCAACAACCACTGAGTGTCTAAGCATTGAGGTTTTTGGTGATGACAATCTCTTGTACAATTTTTATGACACAAAAATCACAACACTTGACGGTCGCTTTCTCTGATAGATATGCATTGCGTCACTCCCTCAGGGTCCTGGAGACAAAGAAACCAGAGCTAACAGTAGATGAGAAGTGTGAGAGGACATTCATCACATTCACAGACGAGGCTACTTTTAGAGAGGTTTTCTCACAAGTGTGAGTAGATGGGCAACTTTAAGTGTGGTTAACATTGATAGTTTTGAATTATCTCTGGCATGCTGGTTTTTTATATTATCATGGTGATGCTTAGCATTTAATTTAAAGGACATTGATAGTTTAAAACTATAATTATTATATGGATAACTTTGAAATACCTGAAACTTCTTTTTTAGGGGCAATTTTAACAAAAAAATATTTTAAACTCATAATTTCTAAAAATGTTCTGGTTTTATTCAAAATGCACAGATTATTTAGTTTCTTTATTAAAACGTAAACATATTAATTTTTTTTTTTTTTTACAATAGTAAAAATCTGCAACTTTTATAATTTTATTGCTAGTTACGTGCTGTTTAATAAATTTAATCTAAGTAGTAATCTACAGTATATGCATAAAATACTGCAATTAATAATTACAAATTTGAAGTGTTTCAATAATTTTCAATTATGCATAAACAAGGTGTGCATAAAGTGTAAATGCCCATATTTTTATAGTGATATTTTACACGTAACTCAAACCATTTGTTTTATCTCCATAATTATCTCCAGCAAAAGAAAACCACCTGGCAAGTCAATATGTCCTGTGACAAAGTTGCCAGCAAAGTATTTTGACCCCATAACACAGGTGAGAGGTTGAAGATATTGGTCAATTCCTGGATATAAAAGTCGTGTCGGAAGTGTGACTTGCGATAATTTAATTGTCATTGCTGGCTTCACTGATCCACCAAGCGGTTTATATTTCTGTAATAAGTGCTTCATGTTTGTCGAGCTGGCTAGAAGCAATTCGAAGTATGTAAATCACAAAGATAGTAATGTAATTTGTGAACAGTGAGTTATATCAGATTTAAAAAAGTGCATTTAACAATGTAAATAAGTTACAAAATAATTTCATTTTTTTCCTATATACTTCCATTTTGTACTTGAACTTATTAACTTATACCAGGTTTAAACCTCTTTTATTAGTTGCACAAGTCAGTTAGATTAAATGTAAAAATTATTACTGTATTTATTGGCGGCAAATGATGTATGCGTGTTACACGCCGATATAATGTTTAGTTTTTTTTTCCTGAAATCTCCTTCTTAAATTGAGGTGCATGTTATATGCCAATAAATACGGTATTCATTGTGGAGTGTTATGTAGCTTGGGTTTGGCTGTCCATTAATTGAGCTGATGGCATGATATTTTTAAATCCCAATCAGCGGGTCAACTGGGAGGAACTTTTGAACATGAATTGATACAGCTGTTCCTACTTTCCACAGTTATACTTAAATTCATTCCCCACAAACATATGCGGGGCAGATAGATGAGCTCTCAGTTCTTTAGCAAGCAATCTGTTGTATTAACAGTGGCTTAACTTTTTTTTATTAAACCTTAGCACTCTCAACACTATGCCAATCTGCCCTTGGTACTGGTATAACTTAGCAAAAAAAGAAAGAAAGAAAGAGCATTATGAATTGTCTCCCCTTGCAGTGCCAAGGTTCACACAATGTTTCTTGTTTCCTTGATGTTTCTGTAACAAGATGGTAACAAACAGGTGTTGTCGACCTGAATAGTAGCTATTTCATCCAAAGCTTCCACCATGCATTTGCAGGACAAAAACTTCAATGAATGAACAAATCTTAGATGGAAATAAACTATGGACGCAACTTCATTTCAATGAAAATTACAACCAAAAAAACACCAAAAAAGCAACAACACGTTGTATTATTTAATGAAAAGGATTTATTAAATAAACAAAAAGTATCAATTAAATACTCCAGAAATACAATCTGAGCCCTGTGAGATATCTGAGATGACTGCTGGTACTGAGCTTTTTTTAAAAGGGGTTTTACCAGGTATGCTATGTGGATAAAATGAGAACTATTCACATTTAACCTGTTGTGAAAGGCTTTAACATCTGCTCTTTATTTCTTTAGAAAGATGTACTGGTAATGTCATAAATATTTGCAGTTTTCAATCTTTCACCCAATTAAATTTAAACTGTATTTATTTGAATTGCCCAAGTCTAAGTCAACTTATAAATGGGAAAAAGTATTTATTTTTTATATTTTTCAGATGCCTTATGCTAATGCTCAGGCATTCAGGCTCATACGGGATGCGTACATCAAACAGCTGGAGGCCGAGAACAAGCCAAGACCGGCTAGTCCATCAATTGGGCAAAAAAAGAAAGACAAAGTAGAAGAATCTCCACAGACAGTATCTGTCAATTCATAAATGTCTTGTGTGTGTGTGAGAGGAGTGAGTGTGTATAAATAGAAATTATGTACTATATGCGATTATAAAATAAAAACATATTGAATATATCTATTAGGTTTTTTTTGTTTTTTTAGTTTTTCAAAATGTGAAGTGTGAAAAATGTTATGGAATACAAGACATTAAAATTTGTAATGTTAATATGATCGTATTGTTTGAATATGTTTTGCTTGGTTATTAACAGGTCAAAGTATCTGGTATAACTTTATCAGATTTTGAGGAAGATTGAGTTTTAGGTATAATGTTTTTCTAATAAAACACTAGCCTAAATCATAATTTTTAAATTTTTTTTTGTTATTTTTTTTTTGTTAATGTGCTTCAAGTGTGAAGGATAAAAATGTGGAAAGTCTGTTCAAGCTGTGTTAAGGAAAATGGGTCTCGATGTCAAGCTTTTTCGTTACATTGTTCTTAATGTTTCCCCTGCAAGAAATAACCATGCTAAGTATTATAATTTTATTTACAATATTTATTCCAACTTGCTACTAGTATTGCATGGTCTCTTTGTTGGTTGACTGCATGGAATGACCAGAATTTTTATATAAAGTAGGCAACTGGCTTTTGTAGCTACCAGTTTTGATGAAAAGCCTGGCACAGCTTAACTACTTGATTTTACGCCCAGAGGGGTTAATTGTATGGTGACTGATCCAGCTGAACTGTTGTTTTTTTAATATATCCAGGAGTTAATTGTACCTGGTGCATCTAAACTGTTGACAAATCCTGGAGTTAATTGTACCTGGTACAGCTAAACTGTTGACATATCATGTAGTTAATTGTACCTTGTACAGCTAAACTGTTGATACATCCTGGCGTTAATTGTACCTGGTACAGCTAAACTGTTGATAAATTCATGAGTTGATCGTACCTGGTACAGCTAAACTTTTGATGCATCCTGGAGTTAATTGTACAGCTAAAAAAATGTTTCTAGTTTTTTATATTTGAAACTGAAAATTTCTAATGAAATACTGTTTCTGTAATTTTTACTCTTTACATTTAAGAGATTCAACAATACATGTTAAAAAATTTTTTTAAAACAACAAAAAACCCACAACAAAAGGAAAAGTCTTCTTTATTAAGAAAAAAGATGAAATTTGAGTCTCAATTTTCATCCTAGAATTGAAAAATTGGAAGCCTTTCTCTCATAATTTTTTTTTTTTGTAAACTGATGGTTGTATTGATGAAATCAATGTGCCATTTTGTTATTTAAGTCATAGACCAATAAATGTGATTACAGAACTCAGTCCTTGTTAGGATTATGCCTTATGCTGCTAGATCATCATGAAAATGTAAAGTTTACATTCAGGTGCATCTTCGTTATTATTTACATGTTATTATTAATTACTGACTCTTACAATAACACAAATTACATGTGAACGAATTTTCTCGAAACCTGTTTTTATAAAAAGTCTATGATTGAGATAAAAAAAAAAGGGCTACCTACCATTATATGATTTAACAAATGTAATATGTTTAAAAAGGCTTTTTTGGCTCATTAGATGAACAATATTTAACAAAGGACTCCAAACCAGTATACAAAGAAAAACGATAGCCATGCTAGTGTTATTAGAAGTAATCAATTTATTTATACCAAAAATTCTGATAGATAAGTTCTAAATCAAATATTATTAATTATTATATTGATGTAAAAACTCAATTAACTTAAAGGACTTGAATGCTTATAATATGACAAGGGGAAAGATATTAATCCACATACACAAAAACACAGAGTGAAAGTCTTGTAAGTCTCGTAGATGTATCTCAAATTTGGTTATGGCATGTCTACCTTATTTATAGTCTGGCGGTGTGTGTGGGGAGGGGGTGTTTCTAGAATCGAACTTTCAGTATAGAGGGACAATCGAGAATTATCCATCTCGATTTAGAACCTTCTAGTAAGTTCAAGCTCCCCGGGGCTCCGGTTGACAAGTCTGTTGTGGCTTGCCGATTAGGAGGCGTCGGCCACCGGCCCGCGTCGACGTTACCCGGGGAACAAGACCTCCATTGCGTGCCCTGCGTGGGAAGACAAGGGACACGCATGGTACCTGCCGGAATAAAAATAGCACCTACACGGCTACCAGCTTTGACGCTTCACAGCTGGAAGTGAAGGCAGAAACAGGGTAGGGATCATGATGACAAGTTGCCGTTAATGGATGTGAGGCCGCTAGAGGCGAAGGTTCTAGCCCACGTCTGCACAACTCAAAGTGTAATTCTTTATGGAAAACCTGTGCGGGCCAAAAGAAAAAATGACAGGTGGAAGAAAATAATAAGAATAGTTCGTTACTTCGCGGGACACAAAGTAGGTGCTCGTGGGCCACATGTGGCCTGCGGGCAGTATGTTGTGCAGGCCTGCTCTATCCGATGATTCTAAATACGCAGCCCCGAGAAAACTGTTCCTAGACAACCGTTTCGTCCCAGCTACTTCGCAAACTAGTTGCGTGGTGGAAACCCACAGTAGAATCCCTCTTATAGGGCGTCCGACGCTTCACCGGGATGGGTTGGGGAAGATATTAGGACGTTAATGTACCATCCCGACTCCCTGGGAGAGTCGGCTGCGAACGCTTTAAACGCATCGTTTTCGGTCGACTGGACTCCCCTGTCGGGGAAAGCTTCCATCAGCAAAATCCGATCGAACAGTTGCGGTCCAGGTCCGGGGAAGTCCCTGGCGTGCTGCCGTACCGTCCGGGGTCGGGGAGAGTCAGCGTCTGTGATGAGTGGTGGTGCGTCGGGGAGGGCATTAAGAGCTCACGCTCGACGGCCCGCCAACGCCATTTGCCAATGTGACATATTTAGTAAGTTCAAGAGATGCCATGGCTGGACGATGACTCGCCAACACAAGGACACGTTAATTGGTGTTGGCAGTTATAAAACAAAAATGGGGAGGGGGGAGCGCTACATGAAACAGGGTGAAGCAAAATGGGTCAACATCAAAATGGGTCAACACCAAAATGGGTCAACACCAAAGTGGGTCAACAACAAAATGAGACCATAACAACAGACAATACAGAAAACTTGTCAGGGTAATAACGAATAACTAAATAAAAAAGCAAGCAATCCAAGTGAAATAATCTTGATACAATTATGATGGCACAGTAAATTAAAAGGAATAAAAACGGGCCACATGTTTTCCCCGCTGGCTGTTCGGCGAGCCCAGTAGTTCCCAGAATGTACGCCGCATCGCCCAGGGTGCCATGTTGCCCCGCCCAGGGTGCCATGTTGCCCCGCCCAGGGTGCCATGTTGCCCCGCCCAGGGTGCCATGTTGCCCCGCCCAGGGTGCCATGTTGCCCCGCCCAGGGTGCCATGTTGCTCCGCCCAGGGTGCCATGTTGCCCCGCCCAGGGTGCCATGTTGC